ATCTTCAAAAAAGTTTAAGATATCAGTAATTTCTCAATATATTATCGCTATTTGAGACGGTGGAGTCTACTAATGCCTACAGTGAATAATGCCTACAGTGTTAAATAAACAACTTTACGCACCAGTGCTGCTGATTGCACCTGCCTTCAACCTTTCAATAAAGTGGCATGGTCCTATTTCAAAGTGCACTAATGCCTACAGTATATAGAAAACAGTAACTTTCTATGTTGAGAGACATTTTATTTGGTCATTCATATACATATGTACATTCATATACATATCTTTCACATTGTTGTCATATTTTTCTTAATTTTCTTAAACTTTATTCATATCTTTCACATAGTAGTTTGTTTTGAGATAAATAAATGTACATAAATAAACATAATCATTTATTTGGATTAAAATGTAATTAAAACTTAATTTGATTCATGATACATATATACATCTTTCACACAGTCAACTACCACATTCATTAATAAAGTCATTGTGGTAACCAAAAGTAATTTACATGTATACACACAGTTTCACACATTCATCAACATAGTCATTTGGTTTTCAAGCTAGCTTGATCAAATATCCTGCAGCAGTCAGGAATTCCAGGGGTGTCTTGATACCAGATGTCAGCTGGGCCTTCAGACGAGTGAGTCTCTGGTCAATTTCTGTGTACGTCCTCTTGCGGGGTGGGGGACGGGCGCCATGAGCCATCTGCACCAGCTTATTTCTCTCCGCTTTCTCCAGCTTCTGCAGAACCTTCACAAGAGCGAAAATGTTCGGGTGGGCTCTCTGGACGGTCTTGTTGAGATGCGAATGCCAACCCTCGAGATGATTGTTCGTCCTTGGGCCGCTGGTGTCGTGGTGATTCCATAGTCCGGCTCGGAACCGTGCATGGTCGTCTACCCAGGTGCTGGTGATGTAGTCCTGGAACTCATCCTTCTGTCCAATGGCAGGGGCGTCGTCCATGACCTCTATCCAGGCATTTTGTACCATGGCTACTAGAAATAGCATCCACGGACGTCGCAGTTGGGGAAGATGGTCTCAACAGCGTTGATGGCAGCGATTTCGAAATCCGTCTGGATGACATCAGGCTGAAGGGGCGATCCCGTTGTCTGCTGGATCTTGTCGTTCAGGAGACGTAGCAGGCGTTCATAGGTGCGGCGTTGACGATTCGGCAGTAGACAGAAGACCAACTGGGTCATCTTCCCTCCGACTAGGCCATGGATGACGTACAGCTGATCCCAGAGAGGAGGACAGGAGTAGAAGGTGCCGTCCATGTAGAGGGTGTCCACTTCTTGCAGGAGGGTCAGGCGGTCACTTGTGGCGAAGCAGAGAATCTTGTCATCATCACCGTCATCAATGCGTCTGGGGAAGTGGCGGCATCATCTTCCGTCTCTGCTTGTAGAGTCCACTCTTCATAGAATGGAACGACTTGACTGTTGCTGCTTCACCTTGGTCAAGTCGGGAAATCTCCTCATCGTAGATCACCTGAACTGGCGTCGTCTCAGTCTGTACCCGCTGCCTCAGGGGAACTGGCAATCTTCAGGGCTACCTGGTCTTCTTGTGGGTGGTTGTGTGGGGTCTGATTCCGAACAAACTGTCCGACTGTCGTACACTTGCCAAAGCAGCCACCTTGAACACACTTCCAGTGTACACACGTCTGTCGCCTGTTGTTGAGTCTGTAGCGGTATCCCTCCAAGAGTACCTGCTGTCCTCCTTTCTGTGATGTGAAGTATTCGACTTTCTTGGGATTTGCCATGATTTGCAATGAAGATTTGTATCACAAGCATTTTAAAGCAATACATTTCCTTCTCCCTTTAATAATCTCTCTATTAATTACTTTACTCTTCAATTTCCTTCTCGTGTGAGAACTAAATGCGTATGGAATTATCAAAACATAAGCTAGCTAACGATTTAATACTCTTGATCTTACTCTTTACTCTCCTTGCTGGCCTCCCCTAATCCCTTTGTAGGCAATAGTGCACACTAAGTGGAACAATCTACTTGTGTGCAGGTAAGCGTATCGCTGTCACTGCAAACGTTGTAGCTATTATTCCCTGTAGGCATTATTCACTGTAGGCATTAGTAGACCTAACCTTTGAGACTTATTTAATTCATTTCAAGATATCTCTATTTTCATTCAAGATATCTTTAAAACAATCTAAGATATCAGTATTTCTTAATAAATGTGGAAACGGCTTGCCATACGGTAGTGCACAAACTTGAACCATCCATGGTACAAAACCTGTGTATTTTAAACAATATATACATTTAGCCTTCTGCGAAGCTGTTTTCTGTTAACACAAATGTAATATACAGTGGAACATATGGGCTATCGTGCAAATTCCGGCACTTCGGGCGTAACAATGTTTTAATCACTTGTCGAGTACCGAAACAGGACGCTTAAAACAGCAAATACGGTAGATGACTGCGTGTCCGAATGAGCTGCGAGGAAGGTCCGTACAGATCCAGGAATTAAACATTTACCATTTTGGCGAAAGTACCACGAGATAAAATACTACATATCATATTCCGCCTGATAACCGTTGAGTCTGCACAGTGTTCACATGGGAAGTACTATCCAGGCGGGCTTACAAATAACTGCTCCCAGATCTCACTGTGGACCGTCAATAAAATCTTGTCTATAATACATATCGGATCTTAGCATACAACGGACCATTGACGCACTTGGAACCTCTCATACACACGGTTTATTCCCATTACGACTACTCCATGGGTTGACTACCCGTCCAATACACAACCTGTTCCAGTCGAGTGGCTGTAATTACTAGCTCCACCCCCACCCCCCCCACCATCAGGTGGACTGATCCACCAACACTTATAAACAATCATAGCTGTATATATCATATATGTTGAGTATATAGGTTTAGGTGATAATCACTGGAAGCGGTTACTTTTAGAAATGAACTTGTGTTGAGTTATTCAATGCGCCTTTACGGTATAAAGTAGTTATAACAATGTATCCTTGAATATAAAAATCTTCTTAAATTGTGATAGTTCCGACGTGTAAATAGGTAGTGAATAACATGTTCGTTATAATGATCACATGACTGACTGACTGAGTTTAGTTTTACGCCGCTTTTAGCAATATTCCAGCAATATCACGGTGGGGACACCAGAAATGGGCTTCACACATTGAGCCCATGTGGGGAATCGAACCCGGGTCTTCGGCGTGACGAGCCAACGCTTTAACCACTAGGCTACCCCACCGCCCCAATGATCACATGAACAGTTAGATGTTTCCGATGTATGTCGATGATATTTGTCTGCGTTTAGATCACTACAGCAGAGCTTGAGGCGACAATGGATGATTTGACAAAATCTAGTCCCAAAATTTTAATCAAAGTACTTGTGAGTTTCTGTTGGGTTTATCATGGCGTTTAAATAGCGTTAACAGCTCCATCGAACAATACATCCACGACATAATCGCGCTCGGTTAAAATGATTGAGAATATATTTGCGTTCTACAGTTAATAGTTTCAATGTAAGTTGGAGGGATTATGTCCAATTTTCAAAACAAACAACCTGTACTGTAAGTTTACAAAGTTTTAATCCGGGCAGAGGAGTTATCTCCAAATATATAAACAAACAATGAATGACCACAAGATCCCCGATTCACTTGGCTTCTAATCATTTTAGGTTGGCCCCGGGAGTCTCCCTTATTTGAAAGTTTAGACAAACTGGGAGTAATCAGCAATACAGGTACAGTACATTATTAAGAGTAGGGGTGCTCCATTATATGTATATGGTCATGAGTAGTCAAACTGGGAGTAGTCAAACTGGGAGGAGTCAAACTGGGAGTAGTCAAACTGGGAGATAGTCATACTGGGAGGGCCTTCATACATGCCAGGCCTTTGATACACGCCAGGCCTTTGATACACGCCAGGCCTTTGATACACGCAAGGCCTTTGATACACGCCAGGCCTTTGATACACGCAAGGCCTTTGATACACGCAAGGCTTTTGATACACGCCAGGCCTTTGTCATATCTCCTGCCTCTACAGCATATATCGTTCTATATCCTGTGTCACTGATCTTGGGCTACCATGTGTCTGAGATATATGATTTGTCATCTCCACAAGAAAAGGGTAATACCTTTAAGACGCCCAGATTGCAAAACAACTAGGATACGGGATGGCTGTCGATAGACTAGAACGCCGCGGACATATATTCCAATTTATTAGCGGAAATACGGTAACTGTGTCCTCTTCCTATGAAAGTGTAACAGGGCGTGGAGTCATCCCACAGATGACATCCTTACCTGTGCTTGCTGACGGGGTTAACCTCCTTGGTCACGTGACACTGTTTAGTTGTAGCCACTGCTGATGTGCTGCTCACTGTCAAATATATGTACCATGTGTTGAGATATGTCAAATATGTGTACCATGTGTTGAGATATGTCAAATATATGTACCATGTGTTGAGATATGTCAAATATATGTACCATGTGTTGAGATATGCTCCGTGACGCACACATACAATACTTATGTATAGCAATCTAAATGTAGCTTAGCACCTAGCTCCCCGTCACACACAGCAGATCGATACCCCGATTTCAGTGTGCCCCCCACCCGACCACATCAACTTCCCGGTCACATGGAACACAGCGTCAGTCAACCTTGTACATTCTGACTCCACGCGGTAGTATACCTTGTACATTCTGACTCCACGCGGTAGTATAGCGATGTTGGCTGTGTGTGAAAGTATATCGATATGACGTATAATGTTTATACTGTATTCACTGGTCCCACCAATGTAGGATATATGTGCCCATTACGCATGTCATGGCAGGTCGCCTGTGACTATACATTACATTGACCTCCTTGGGATGAGGACTCTTGGTAAACACCGGTATATTGTCACGGGAGTTACCTGTGAACATTTGTGTACCTGTGATTGCTCAGTGGAGTATATGTTGGCAACCTAGATTCTGCATGGTAACTGTCGGTAACATCTCGACACAAAGAAAGGTGTTTCATAGTTACCTGTGACTATGTCCTGCGTCTAGATGAAACACCCTCTTACACTTCCTTATCGGTGGGTCGACAGGGGAACATTATCCGGGTAAGGTATCGTAAATAGCGTCTTCCTGCCTGTCAACCTGGACCCGATTTACAAGGCCAACGGGTGCTGTGTTCAACGTGAATACACCCGTTTACGGCTCGCGCGGGTTGGCAGTGCAGGGAGTACACGCTAACCAAGCAGTGTGTGGAGCTGTGGTTACTAGGCGACGTGTCATGGCGGAGGTTCCCGAGAACGCAAACATGCACAGTAACTTCAGCTGGTGGAAACCACAGTTGTGGATGTTGAGAGGTCAATATGATTTGTGTGCAATTGAGTTTGTTGTTGATAACGATCTGGGTAACGGGGCAAGGTCGAGAGGCACACATTTCGCTATGTTGTTGATCGAAAATATTGAACGCGAGTACACAGCTGTGTGGACTACAGCGCTGTACGAATGGCGTGGCGTGATAGCTCATGTACATTGGATTTATACATATTATATACATTAAACATATGTTCCAAAAAGTATTAATTTGTTTTCCAAACAGTGAATCATGTTACAGGAAATTTCAATTATATTCCGTAACAAATAGTGAATTACGATGGATCTACAAAATTTTACTTCAAATTATTACGTCCAATAAAAGCATAATTGATATAGTACGACAGCTTTATTATAACACGCTGGTCAGTTGATAAAAAACATACACAAGGAAGTAAGTAAAACAAAATATCATTTTGAATATTCTCATTGACCAATAAGTTCAACATTAAACATGCCAGGTCTTGTACAGACATGGCTTTGTATGAAAATCGGTGTTTTTGTAAAATGACCGATTATCATCATGAAATCAACATGGATTCCAATCAGTTTGTCTTTTGTTATGAGTTAAAGGATTATACGGGCCAGAAAACTTTTTGTTTTTTCCAGCAAAAACGTGGGGTGTCAATGAGAATTTTTTTGTGTATGTGTTGAAAACCTTTCATTTGCAAAACACTTTAAGGGTGCTTATTCCAGTTCTTTGTGTATGTTGTATTCTTATTGTTCGACCTCCTGTCTCATCTTGGAGTTCCTCCTCCATTTCCCCCAGATCGTCCTCGTTCCATTCTTGTACACGCATGTACACACCTTTCTTCTTCTTGTTCGACCTCCTGTCTCATCTTGGAGTTCCTCCTCCATGTCCCCTAGATCGTCCTCGTTGCACTTAATGTTTCTCAAATTTCTCTGTAAATCGCTGTTATTTTGAAAAGCCAGACCGCAATAATGGCATGATTCCAGACAGCGTTGTTTCTTCGCTTGGTTCCGTTTTTCCTCTTACTTCCTTCTGAGTCCCACTGGGGCAGTGGGGTAGCCTAGTGGTTAAAGCGTTGGCTCGTCACGCCGAAGACCCGGGTTCGATTCCCCACATGGGCACAATGTGTTAAGCCCATTTCTGGTGTCCCCCGCCGTGATATTGCTGGAATATTGCTAAAAGCGGCGTAAAACTAAACTCAGTCAGTCAGTCAGTCAGTCTGAGTCCCACTTGGGGTATCCCATGTGAACCGACTGAGGACTTCTTGGCGCACTAGTTTCTTCTGTGTTTTTGCAAATCAGGATGATCCTGAAACAGGCCATACTCATCACAAGAAGCCATTGTTGGGAGCAATTATCATCATAAAATCAACATAGATTCCAATCATTTTGTCGTTAGTCAAGGGATCATACGGATCAGAAAAAAACGTTTTTTCCATCGTGGTCGAGAGGTTTTATGTACATGTTGAAAACCTATTATTGCAAATATACAGGGGGTGCTTAATTAAGTTCTTCGTGTATAGACATCACCACTTCGTCTCACTGCCACCACCACTGACTGTAGCAAAGGAACACCCACCCATCCTACTGACACAAACACTGAATGTAGCAAGGAACAACACCCATCCGACTGACACACCACTGAATGTAGCACAGGAACACCCACCCCCTCCTGCTGACACCACCACTGAATGTAGCAAAGGAACACCCACCCCTCCTTCTGACACCACCACTGAATGTAGCAAAGGAACACCCACCCCTCCCACTGACACCACCACTGAACGTACCACAGGAACACCCACCCCTCCCACAGACACCACCACTGAATGTAGCAAAGGAACACCCACCCTCCTACTGACACCACCACTGAATGTAGCACAGGAACACCCACCCCTCCCACAGACACCACCACTGAATGTAGTAAAGGAACACCCACCCTCCCACTGACACCACCACTGAATGTAGCAAAGGAACACCCACCCCCTCCTATCGTCACCACCACTGAATGTAGCAAAGGAACACCCACCCCTCCTACTGACACCACCACTGAATGTAGCAAAGGAACACCCACTCCTCCCCTCCTGCTGCTGGCCACCATCACTGAATGTAGCAAAGGAACACCCGCCCCTCCTATCGACACCGCCATTGAATGTAGCACAGGAACACCCACCCCTCCTACTGACACCACCACTGAATGTACTAAAGGAACACCCAACCCACCCACTGACACCACTGAATGTGGCAAAGGAACACCCGCCCCACCCACTGACATCACCACTGAATGTAGCAAAGGAACACCCACCCCTCCTGCTGACACCACCATTGAATGTAGCAAAGGAACACCCACCCCCACTCCACCCGACATCACTGAATGTAGAAAAGGAACACCCACCCCTCCCACCGACACCACCACTGAATGTAGTAAAGGAACACCCACCCCTCCCACCGACACCACCACTGAATGTAGAAAAGGAACACCCACCCCTCCCACCGACACCACCACTGAATGTAGTAAAGGAACACCCACCCATTCTACTGACACCACCACTGAATGTAGCAAAGGAACACCCACCCCTCCTGCTGACACCACCATTGAATGTGGCAAAGGAACACCCACCCCTCCCACCGACATCACTGAATGTAGAAAAGGAACATCCACCCACCCTCCCACCGACACCACCACTGAATGTAGAAAAGGAACACCCATCCCTCCCACCGACACCACCACTGAATGTAGTAAAGGAACACCCACCCATCTACTGACACCACCACTGAATGTAGCAAAGGAACACCCACCCCCATCTACTGACACCACCACTGAATGTAGCAAAGGAACACCCACCCCCATCTACTGACACCACCACTGAATGTAGCAAAGGAACACCCACCCCTCCTACCGACATCACTGAATGTAGCAAAGGAACACCCGCCCCACCTACTGACACCACCACTGAATGTAGCAAATTAACAGCCACCTCCATCTACTGACACCACCACTGAATGTAGCAAAGGAACACCCGCCCCTCCTACCGACATCACTGAATGTAGCAAAGGAACACCCATCCCAGCTACTGACATCACCACTGAATGTAGGAAAGGAACACTCACCCCTCCCACCGACATCACTGAATGTAGCAAAGGAACACCCACCCCATCTACTGACATCACCACTGAATGTAGGAAAGGAACACCCACCCCTCCTGCTGACACCACCACTGAATGTAGCAAAGGAACACCCAGTCTTACTTTAAACTGACATGCCATTATGTAAGGGGGACAACTCTGTGAAACCCGACTCGCTCACTCTCTCATGATTGAGGAACTTGTGCTCGAATGAAGCGATTGTACGGGCGCCTCTGTTTTACGTCTTACACTGTTTACTGTTGAGTAAAGCAACTCCCACATGTTGAACGTACAATCTGAGACCATTTGAAAATTTAAACGCGTCAGATTTTAATTCTGGAAACTGTACTTAGTATAAGAAGCAAAACAATCACTGAGATGGTAATGTGAGTTGGAGAGAGTAGGTTGATGTACACATTGATCAGACTACAAGATTAGGAAACTTCTTGAAGCCATAAAAATCCAACGCTTCAACCCCACCATGAACCGGGATCAAGGTTATTTTATTTCTTCAGCCTATCACCACCTCATTAAAGATCACCAGTTATCCGCCCATAACTCATCCATCTGGCTTCTATGCTCCCTGTTGTGTATTGTAATCACAACCAATCAATGTGTACATCAACCTACTCTCTCCAACTCACATAACCATCTCAGTGTCGACAACTCATCTATTGTATAAACTCATTCTGCATATTGTTATAATCACTTTAACTCTGTACATCAACCTATACTGCTGAAATCACTAATCAGATATCCAATGTACATAAACCTTGTCAATTGTATGTACCACCTGTATGCAGCTATGTATATATATATTGTCAACTGTATGTACCCACTGTGCAGCTATGTATATATTGTCAATTGCTGTAGCTAAGGTATATATTGTCAATTGTGTGTGCGCTATGTATATATTGTCAATTGTATGTACCCACTGTGAAGCTATGTATATATTGTCAATTGTATGTACCCACTATGCCGCTATGTATATATTGTCAATTGTATGTACCCACTATGCCGCTATGTATATATTGTCAACTGTATGTACCCACTATGCCGCTATGTATATATTGTCAATTGTATGTACCCACTATGCCGCTATGTATATATTGTCAACTGTATGCAATTTCATCATGCCTTAATTATGCCATATATTGTATTACCCACTATGCAGCTTATGTATATATTGTCAACTGTATGTATATATATGTTGTCAACTGTATGTACCCACTATGCCGCTATGTGTATATATTGTCAACTGTATAAAAACCACTATGCCAGCTATGTATATATTGTCAACTGTATGTACCCACTATGTAGCTATGTATATATTGTCAACTGTATGTACCCAACTATGCCGCTATGTATATATTGTCAACTGTATGTACCCACTATGCAGCTATGTATATATTGTCAACTGTATGTACCCACTATGCAGCTATGTATATATTGTCAACTGTATGTACCCACTATGCCGCTATGTATATATTGTCAACTGTATGTACCCACTATGCCGCTATGTATATATTGTCAACTGTATGTACCCACTATGCCGCTATGTATATATTGTCAATCTGTATGTACCCACTATGCAGCTTATGTATATATTGTCAATTGTATGTACCCACTATATATGCCATGTATATATTGTCAATTGTATGTACCCACTATGCCGCTATGTATATATTGTCAATTGTATGTACCCACTATGCAGCTATGTATATATTGTCAACTGTATAAAAACCCACTATGCCGCTATGTATATATTGTCAATTGTATGTACCCACTATGCAGCTATGTATATATTGTCAATTGTATGTACCCACTATGCCGCTATGTATATATTGTCAATTGTATGTACCCACTATGCCGCTATGTATATATTGTCAATTGTATGTACCCACTATGCAGCTATGTATATATTGTCAATTGTATGTACCCACTATGCCGCTATGTATATATTGTCAATTGTATGTACCACTATGCAGCTATGTATATATTGTCAATTGTATGTACCACTATGCAGCTATGTATATATTGTCAATTGTATGTACCACTATGCCGCTATGTATATATTGTCAATTGTATGTAAAATGCCGCTATGTATATATTGTCAATTGTATGCCGCTATGTATATATTGTCAACTGTATAAAACCCACTCATGCCCACTATGCATGTATATATTGTTGTCAATTGTATGTACCACTATGTATATAGCTATGTATATATTGTCAACTGTATGTACCCACTATGCCGCTATGTATATATTGTCAACTGTATGTACCCACTATGCCGCTATGTATATATTGTCAATTGTATGTACCACTATGCAGCTATGTATATATTGTCAATTGTATGTACCCACTATGCCGCTATGTATATATTGTCAATTGTATGTACCCACTATGCCGCTATGTATATATTGTCAATTGTATGTACCCACTATGCAGCTATGTATATATTGTCAATTGTATGTACCCACTATGCAGCTATGTATATATTGTCAATTGTATGTACCCACTATGCCGCTATGTATATATTGTCAATTGTATGTACCCACTATGCAGCTATGTATATATTGTCTATGTATATATTGTCAATTGTATGTACCACTATGTCAATTGCTATGTATATATTGTCAATTGTATGTACCCACTATGCCGCTATGTATATATTGTCAATTGTATGTACCACTATGCCAGCTATGTATATATTGTCAATTGTATGTACCCACTATGCCGCTATGTATATATTGTCAATTGTATGTACCCACTATGCCGCTATGTATATATTGTCAATTGTATGTACCCACTATGCAGCTATGTATATATTGTCAATTGTATGTACCCACTATGCCGCTATGTATATATTGTCAATTGTCAAGCTATGTATATATTGTCAATTGTATGTACACTATGCCGTATATATTGTATATATTGTCAATTGTATGTCAATTGTATTCACTATGCCGCTTATGTATATATTGTCAATTGTATGTACCCACTATGCAGCTATGTATATATTGTCAATTGTATGTACCCACTATGCAGCTATGTATATATTGTCAACTGTATGTACCACTATGCCGCTATGTATATATTGTCAATTGTATGTACCACTAATTGTATGTACCACTATGCCGCTTATGTATATATTGTCAACTGTATGTACCCACTATGCCGCTATGTATATATTGTCAACTGTATGTATGTACCCACTATGTATATATTGTCAAGCTATGTATATATATGTATTGTCAACTGTATGTCATGTATATATTGTCAACTGTATAGCCATGTATATATTGCAGCTATGTATATATTGTCAACCCTGTATGTAGTTATGTGTATATATTGTCACTATGCCTATGCTATGTATATATTGTCATATTGTTGTATGTACCACCACTATGCCGCTATGTATATATTGTCAATTGTATGTACCCACTATGCAGCTATGTATATATTGTCAACTGTATGTACCCACTATGCCGCTATGTATATATTGTCAACTGTATTGTATGTACCCACTATGCAGCTATGTATATATTGTCAATTGTATGTACCCACTATGCAGCTATGTATATATTGTCAATTGTATAAAAACCCACTATGCCGCTATGTATATATTGTCAATTGTATATGTAAATACCACTATGCCGCTATGTATATATTGTCAATTGTATGTACCCACTATGCAGCTATGTATATATTGTCAATTGTATGTACCCACTATGCAGCTATGTATATATTGTCAATTGTATGTACCCACTATGCCGCTATGTATATATTGTCAATTGTATGTACCCACTATGCAGCTATGTATATATTGTCAATTGTATGTACCCACTATGCAGCTATGTATATATTGTCAATTGTATGTACCCACTGTGCAGCTATGTATATATTGTCAATTGTATGTACCCACTATGCCGCTATGTATATATTGTCAATTGTATGTACCCACTATGCAGCTATGTATATATTGTCAATTGTATGTACCACTATGCAGCTATGTATATATTGTCAATTGTATGTACCCACTATGCCGCTATGTATATATTGTCAATTGTATGTACCCACTATGCCGCTATGTATATATATTGTCAATTGTATGTACCCACTATGCAGCTATGTATATATTGTCAATTGTATGTACCCACTATGCCGCTATGTATATATTGTCAATTGTATGTACCCACTATGCCGCTATGTATATATTGTCAATTGTATGTACCCACTATGCCGCTATGTATATATTGTCAATTGTATGTCAACTGTATATATATTGTCCCACTATGCACTATGCTATGTATATATTGTCAATTGTATGTACCCACTATGCCGCTATGTATATATTGTCAATTGTATGTATCCACTATGCCGCTATGTATATATTGTCAATTGTATGTACCCACTATGCCGCACCCATGTATATATTGTCAATTGTATATATTGTCAATTGTATGTACCCACTATGCCGCTATGTATATATTGTCAACTGTATGTACCCACTATGCCGCTATGTATATATTGTCAACTGTATGTACCAACTATGCCGCTATGTATATATTGTCAAGTTGTATGTACCACTATGCCGCTATGTATATATTGTCAACTGTATGTACCCACCATGCCGCTATGTATATATTGTCAACTGTATGTACCACTATGCCGCTATGTATATATTGTCAATTGTATGTACCACTATGCCGCTATGTATATATTGTCAACTGTATGTACCCACTATGCAGCTATGTATATATTGTCAACTGTATGTACCCACTATGCAGCTATGTATATAATCTCCTTGATTCAGCTCTGTGTATCACTATGCCGCTATGTATATAATCTCCTTGATTCAGCTCTGTGGATCACTTGCTTGATAACGGTGTTAGTACCTACACCGAAACGTCGCACCCATTGCAATAAAGAAGTTGACTATCCATAGAACTTGGCTTTCCTTCATCTTTGTAAAAGTCCATTTAAACTAAATTACTTACGAGCTCGTGGGTGACAATACTTGCTCAGAACTTATATTTTGTCAGTTTGATAAAATTGTTTACAAGTATAACACAAACTTCAGCTCAACTGAACATAATCTGTATGGATCCTGAAATCACTGGGAGCATATTTGTTGTGCGTGCGAAAGTATTTTCCCTCGCTCAAAATTCATGCCTTAAAAGTTGTATAAAAGCGTGTCTATGAATGTCTTGACACGAAATTCAACTTAATTTAACTGGATTCGGCTGATTATAGAGTTATTAAAATATCTCACTGGCCGAGAATTTTGATGCAGGTACAAATTCTCTGTACATGACAGACCCGTGAAGATACGGGTTGGAATTGATCTTCTGTAAACAATGCTTGTCGTAAGAGGCGACTAACGGGATCGGGTTTCTGGCACGCTGACTTGGTTGACACATGTCATCGCATCCCAATTGCATAGATCGATGCTCATGCTGTTGATCACTGGATTGTCTGGTCCAAACTCGATTATTTACAGACCACCGCCATATAGCAAAAAATATTGCTGAGTGTAGTGTAAAACTAAACTCACTCACCAACTGTACATAATATATGGCATATTATTCCGCAGAGTGGATATCGACGGCTACATTCCTGGACCACAGGGGGCGGTGGGGTAGCGTAGTGGTTAAAGCGTTCGTTCATCACGCCGAAGACCCGGGTTCGATTCCCTACATGGGTACAATATATGAAGCCCATTTCTGGTGTCTCCCGCCGTGATATAGCTGGAATATTGCTAAAAGCGGCGTAAAACTAAACTCACTCACTCATTCCTGGACCACGGCAACTACCCCATATCATGCATTGTGATGAGTTGATTCCAAGCTGGAACTAAATGGTGTTAACCGGATACCAGTGGTATTTCCATAACGTTTGTCCTTATCTGATGCTTCATACATAAATGATCAATCTGTCAGTGAGTGAGTGAGTTGAGTTTTATGCCGCACTCAGCAATATTCCAGGTGTATGGCGGCAGTCTGTAAATAATCAAGTCTGGACCAGACAATCCAGTGATCAACAGCATGGGCATCGATCTGCGCAATTGGGAACCGATGATATATGTCAACCAAGTCAGCGAGGCTGACCACCCGATCCCGTTAGTCGCCTCTTACGAGGGTTACTGAAGATCAATATTCTAACCCGGATCTTCACGGGTCAATCTATCAGCAGTAGGATACCTCCCCGAATGATTCCGCACTCTACAACTGATTGCCAAGGCCGAATAATGTTTACATTTAAAACAATTGGTTCAATCCCCGCTGAAGGCTCCCGCAGCCAGAGTGAGTGAGTGAAAACATGCCAGGATCGTCATTACAATCAACGGTGTAATTACGGGGCAGTGTTACCCATTGTCTACAAGGTCAGGTGATCCAGTGGTCGCCGAGGGGCAGTGGTATGTTACAGTAAGACTGTACTGGCAGAGTTCTCGAAGGCACAGTTCATGTCATCAGTTCCCAATTGCGCAGATCGATGCTGATGCTGTTGATCACTACATTGTCTGGTCCAGACTCGATTATTTACAGACCGCCACCATATAGCAGGAATTGCTGAGTGCGGCGTAAAACTAAACTCAGCCAATATTGTACTGTCTCTGTAGTGCCTTGGTACCCGTTTGCATTATTTAGTAAACTTAGTCAATTTTCGAATACAGTTGTTGTTTTGGGTTTCACATCCTGGAGGAGAGTTTTATGGATGTGAACTTCCGGATTATGAGGAACACATTAATTGCTTTATCTGTCAGTTTTATTGCCCGCTGCATCCCGTTTGCCCTTTGTCCATTTCTTTTTTCTTCTTTGAGAGGCATTTTAGAAGTTGTGAAGACAAAGGGAAACTAAGTTCTATGGATAGTCAACTTCTTTATTGCAATGAGTGCGACGTTTCGGTGTAGGCACTAACACCGTTATCAAGCAAGTACCTACACCGAAACGTCGCACTCATTGCAATAAACAAGTTGACTATCCATAGAACTTACTTTCCCTTAGTCCATTGTTCATGATTTAAGTCCCGGGTGGGGTGGGGTGGCTGGATGGTGTTTCGGGTTTAAGTGTGTGGGGTTTTGGGTTTGGGGGTGGGTGGTGTTTGCACATCAATCATGAAGTTGAAAGGTTGGGGTGGGGTGCTCCCCAGGGGCCCTTCTGTGTCCTCTCCTGTAACAGCAATAACCATGATATTAATTAACTGTTAAATTCATTAGAAGTATAAAGGAAAGAAAATAATGTATAGATGAATAACTTCTCTATTTGGAGCAGGTGGTTCTGACACCGTTACTGAACAAGCGATATAAAGGGAGGTAACTCTTGCCTCCAATCTCACATTGCTTCTCCAGTGACGAGAGTTGGTGTGGATGTAACTGGTTGATGTGTAAATCAAGTAAGTAACATGCTCATGTTGCACGAGGGTACACGAGGACTAACAATGGCAACAGATGATAAACAAGATGATTGACAATGAAAACAAGCATGATTATACATGAGACAGGCCGAGGCAAGATAAAAGCATGATGAATGGGATACCAGCGAGGGTGGGGATAACTAACTTTGTAGGGATACCAGCGAGGGTGGGGATAACTAACTTTGGTGGGATACCAGCGAGGGTGGGGATAACTAACTTGGGTGGGATACCAGCGAGGGTGGGGATAACTAACTTGGGTATGATACCAGCGAGGGTGGGAAAACTAACTTGGGTAGGATACCAGCGAGGGTGGGGATAACTAACTTGGGTGGGATACCAGCGAGGGTGGGGATATAACTTTGGTGGGATACCAGCGAGGGTGGGGATAACTAACTTGGGTAGGATACCAGTGAGGGTGGGGAAAACTAACTTGGGTAGGATACCAGCGAGGGTGGGGATAACTAACTTGGGTAGGATACCAGCGAGGTGGGGATAACTAACTTGGGGGATACCAGCGAGGGTGGGGATAACTAATTTGGGTAGGATACCAGCGAGGGTGGGGATAACTAAGTTGGGTAGGATACCAGCGAGGGTGGGGAAAACTAAGTTGGGTAGGATACCAGCGAGGGTGGGGATAACTAAGTTGGGTAGGATACCAGCGAGGGTGGGGATAACTAAGTTGGGTAGGATACCAGCGAGGGTGGGGATAACTAACTTGGGTAGGATACCAGCGAGGGTGGGGAAAACTAACTTGGGTAGGATACCAGCGAGGGTGGGGATAACTAACTTGGGTGGGGGATGGTTTAGAGGACCGCCTGTTATAATGGCTCGTGCAAGCTCTCATGCTTCTCGTGTGAAGCAATGAAACGCGTGCTGCACGCGCATGATGTCACACGTGACCTTGGCAGCGTGAACTGTGTGTATGACATGGAAACTGCAGAGTGACGACAGTCTTGGGGATATAGGCAGATTGCGATGCATTCGGCTGACTTTGTAAGTATTAATGGTAAACTCAGATCTAGACCTCAACACAAGTGATCGCTCACACGGCGTATTTCGTGCAGTCTGGGTGGGGAAGGGGCGTGGGGGGTTGGGGTGTGTGTGTCAAAGGTTGCATCATGGACCCCGCCATCATAACAGGCTTGTATATAAACGATGTTTCCAACATGAATAACACGGTAGATTCGCCTAAACGTTCTACATATCCGACTAATGTTACGTTCTCTGTCTGTCTGTCTGTCTGTCTGTCTGTCTCTCCCAGTTCCTGTTTCTGCGTCTGTCCATCTGTCTGTGTCCGAGTCTGTATGTGTCTCAGTCTGTGTCTGTCTGTCTGTCTCCGTCTGTATTTGTCTGTCTGTCTCCCTCCAAGTTCCCGTTTCTGCGTCTGTCTATCTATCTGTTTGTGTGTGTGTGTCAGTCTGTCAGTCTCTCTGTCTGTCTGTCTGTCTGTCTGTCTCTGTCTGTCTGTATCTGTGTCTGTATGTGTCTGTCAGAGTGTGAGTGTATGTGTGTGTCTGTCTGTGTGTCTGTCTGTATCTCTCTGTATCTGTATCTGTGTGCGTCTCTCTGTCTCTGTGTCTGTGTGTCTGTCTGTGTCTCTCTCTGTCTGCCTGCCTGCCTTCCTGCCCTCTTCCTGCCTGCCTGCCTCCCTGTGTCTGTCTCTCTGTCTGTATCTGGGTGTGTCTGACTGTGTGTGTCTGTGTGTATATGTATCTCTCTGTCTGTGATTGTGTGTCTGTCTGTCTCAGCCTGTGTCTGTGTGTATATGTATCTCTCTGTCTGTGATTGTGTGTCTGTCTGTCTCAGCCTGTGTCTGTGTGTATATGTATCTCTCTGCCTGTGATTGTGTCTGTCTGTCTCTGCCTGTGCCTGTGTCTGTGTGTATATGTATCTCTCTGTCTGTGACTGTGTCTGTCTGTCTCTGCCTGTGTCTGTGTCTGTGTGTACATTGTATATGTATCTCTGTCTGCCTGTCTGTCTGCCTGCCTGTCTGTGACCGTGTCTGTCTGCCTGTATCTCGGTGTGTGTATTTGTGTCTGTCTGTATCTGTGTCTGTGTCTGTGTGTGTCTGTCTGTATCTGTGTCTGTGTGTGTCTGTCTGTATCTGTGTCTGTGTGTGTGTCTGTATATATGTCTGTGAGTGTCTGTCTGTATCTGTCTGTGTGTGTCTGTCTGTATCTGTGTCTGTGTGTGTCTGTCTGTATCTGTATGTGTGTGTCTGTGTGTGTGTCTGTGTGTGTCTGTATCTGTGTCTGTGTGTGTGTCTGTATCTGTGTCTGTGTGTGTCTGTCTGTATCTGTGTCTGTGTGTGTCTGTCTGTATCTGTGTCTGTGTGTGTGTCTGTCTGTGTCTGTGTGTGTGTGTCTGTATCTGTGTGTCTGTGTGTCTGTCTGTATCTGTGTCTGTGTGTGTCTGTGCCTGTGTGTGTCTGTCTGTGTCTGTATCTGTGTGTGTCTGTCTGTCTGTATCTGTGTCTGTGTGTGTCTGTCTGTATCTGTGTCTGTCTGTGTGTGTCTGTATCTGTGTCTGTGTGTGTGTGTCTGTCTGTGTGTGTGTCTGTGTGTGTCTGTCTGTATCTGTGTCTGTGTGTGTGTCTGTATCTGTGTCTGTGTGTCTGTCTGTATCTGTGTCTGTGTGTGTCTTTCTGTGTCTTTGTGTGTCTGTCTGTATCTGTGTCTGTGTGTGTCTGTCTGTATCTGTATCTGTCTGTATCTGTCTGTCTGTATCTGTGTCTGTGTCTGTGTGTGTCTGTCTGTATCTGTATCTGTGTGTGTCTGTCTGTATCTGTGTCTGTCTTTGTGTGTCTGTCTGTATCTGTGTCTGTGTGTGTCTGTCTGTATCTGTGTCTGTGTGTGTCTGTCTGTATCTGTGTCTGTGTGTGTCTGTCTGTATCTGTCTGTGTCTGTCTGTGTCTATGTATCTACTGTCTGTGTCTGTGTCTGTGTGTCTGTCTGTCTGCCTGTCTAATTGTAAACCAAGGGTTTGGGGTGATTCAGACAGGTAGGGAATGGATGACTGGAACAACATGGAGTAAACATATGTTGGTGGTCATTCCACAGGTAGAATATGTGTCAGTCGAGCAAACACCAACTTTACAGTTATCATTTTTATATCTTTTATAACTGATTCTGTACATTTGTTTACACTTGTGTATGAAACCGCCTTCGTGGTGGGCGTAGCGGTTAGAGCGTCCGCCCGGAGAACGGAATGTAGCAGGTTCGATCCCGGCCGCGTCATACCAAAAGAAGTTAAAATTTGGTACTTGTTGGCGTGAATGAGTACAGCAAGGACTGGTCTGCTCGGAGTCAGTATAATGTGTCTGAGTGGGGTATTCATGCTTAACATGCATGGTATCTCAGTGAGTTAGCACTACAAAACCAGCTTGAGCCTGGGCTAGTACAAACAGCCGCACATACACATACACACGCATGCACGTCGTTATATGAGCGAAATATTCTCAAGTACGACGTTAAACCCCATCTCACCTCACCTCACCTCACCTCATCTCACCTTTGTGTGTGGGTATTGACCAAGTTGCCCTGATCAACTATTAGTCCAAGTTAACACCTTACAATTAACTTCCGTCAACCATGAAATGCTGAAACACATATTTAATAATGGATAGGTGTCGCTCCGAACATACACCCTTCAGGTAATGTTTTCAAAAAAAAAAGATCGTCAAGAACAGGAAGAGTGAGATTTACCTCACATTGTAACCACGATGCTCGTAAACCAGCTTACTGAACTCTGGGTGTTTATGTTTGACTACAGCGTGTGAGGGCGCCCGTCAGCGGTAGGATGAGAATCTTGTATGCCGGAAGACAAGCACGCCGAAATCGTAAGTACGGATTGTCTCCCTTGTGAGTAGGATTGGGTGTGAGCTTGAGAATAGTATGCCACTATGGTGCTGTCCTAGCTCGTGGACGACGTGAACGACAGGCGTCCTTTTGTTGCTTTCATATTAATGGAATAATGATTACTGAAACAACGTGTGTGCTCTGTCTTAAGCAACTCCCCCAGCCCACCCGAGTATGCAGTGGGATCCCCCTTGGTTTTAAGTTGGATCCCCCTTGGTTTTAAGTTGGACCCCCCTTGGTTTTAAGTTGGACCCCCCTCGTTCCCATCCGTAGTATTCAGTGGTATCGCCTCCGTAGGATTCAGTAGAATCCCCCCGTGTTATTCATTGGGATTCCGTGATATTCAGGTGTTATTGAGCGGAAAGCCTCGCGATAAGCAGTTTTAACAACGCAGAAGATAGCGTGTATGTGTATACAGAAAGCTGGGGCTATTGGCAGTGTCCCCAATACACGGGCCGGTCAACAATGTCTTCGCTCCCTGATCGGCATACCTGGCCGTCCGTCCCCGACGCCTAGCAACTCCATTGGTATCGACAACTGAATGTCTTTGTTTATTCTGTGCGTTGCTCTTTCATGCTGTCTACCCACCCATAAACAATGGTAGCTGCAGGTTGCCTGTCGGGTCGAACTGGCTTCTACTGATGGTGCCAGTCAGCCATGTGTTATTATTAGTTATTGTACTGTATGGGGCGGTGGGGTAGCCTAATGGTTAAAGCGTTGGCTCGTCACGCCGATGACCCGGGTTCGAATCCCACATGGGCACAATGTGTGAAGCCCATTTCTGGTGTCCCCCCGCCGTGATGTTGCTGGAATATTGCTTAAAGCGGCGTAATAACCAAACTCAGTCAGTATTTTACTTTATTACCCACGTGGTCAACGTATGGGTAGTTGCATATTAATCTCGTACGTCACACGAGTGTCGTATCGCGTTGACCTGTGTCGTAACGACTTGACCTGAAATTCTAACGATTTGATTGGATAACCGATGACCTCTCAATTAGGTCACATTCTGACGTAACTATTTTTTCATTCATAACAAACCCGTGAATTCATTCATTCTACAACTTAAATGCATTGTGGGAATGTAAACATTGCGAACGTTGCCGTGTCGCTGTTTAATTGTGAGTCGAACTGAGACATTATATCTGTCGAAAAACATAAACGCAATGTTTCCACCAGTGATGTCAGCCGAATGAAGCAACTGGAAACCAAGAAACGAGGTGCAACGGAGTAGTTTACTGTAGGAGGCTGTACGAGGCGATGACAACTGACATGCATCGTGACGTCGGTTACCATGGCAGTGACGTCATTAGTGTGACGTCATGCAAATATTGTACTACAGTACAAAACTCTTCCGCAACCTCTTTATGAAACCGGTTTCAGTTTGAAACCAAAAACATGACAAAATACACTATTTTGTCAATTAAAATGCATGTAAGACGTGGGTAATAAATAAAATACCACACTCGGTCTCATTACATACGAAATTATACGAAACTCGTGACCTTCCTATGCTATCTGACCTCGCTTTCGCTCGGTCAGATACCATAGGAAGGACACTCGTTTCGTATAATTCGTATGTAATGAGACCTCGTGTAGTATTCTCTATGTATTGATCCAGTCAAAATATCAAGACAAGGGTCCCTGCTACTGGAGATCAATAAGATATCAATAAGATGTCAATAAGATGTCAATAAGATATCACGAGGTCATACACAGTCCTCGTCACGTGTCTAGCAGCACCATTCCCCGATACACAATGGCTGATTCTGAGTCTATGGTGTCAGGTGCTGCCCACCCGTCGTGTTACCATGACGTCCGTTGCCATGAAGTCAAACCTTATAGTGTTACATGTGTTCCGACTTGTTGATTGGTTACTGGTGGTATCCAGAGGAATACTTAAAGCCCGCTTCTATAATATTCGAGAATGAGTCTGGTTCCGCCTTTTGGTAGTGTTCCAGCCTTATCAGGAAAGGGAGATAACCGGGATGAGCTAACGTGTATTACCTTGTTACAAAACCTCTTTTTAACCGGCGCTGTGGAACTTCCTGGTTTGGTGGGTGGGGTAGCCCAGTGGATACAGCGTTAGCTCGTCACACCGAAGACCCGGGTTCGATTCTCCACGTAGGTACAATGTGTGAAGACCATATCTAGTGTCCCTCATCGTGATATTGCTGGAACATTGCTAAAAGCGTCGTAAAAACTCACTCACTCACTCTTGGTCTGAGTATATCCCAGTACCGCACACCTGTGAGATTCAACACAACCTCGTCGCAGGTGCTCGGAATCAGTAACTATGGTGATTTTGCATCATTCAGTCCCTCTAGCGTGGCTCGTTGCCAATTCTCCCTGTCATCTACAGTTATCGCGTGGACTTCCCGATACAGCTGGATTTTTGCCTTAAAGCAACATTCATTTGTTTAGGTGTTGTACGGGCGTAATCCCCTCGGCGAACGCTTGTTGTAATCGCGGTCCCACCAAATGAATCTATTAGTCTATAAGGACCATAATCGTGCTGGTGGGTTGGGGCGGTGGTCGGGGCGGTGGGGTAGCCTCGGGGTAGCCTCGTGGTTAAAGCGTCCACTCGTCACGCCAGAGTCCAATGTGTGAAGCCCATTTCTGGTGTCCCCCGCCGTGATGTAGCTGGAATATTGCTAAAAGCAGCGAAGAAACATACTGACTGACCGGCTGACTCACTGACTCACTTAGGTGGTTCGTATGACCTCCCCACCCCACGTGGGTACAATGTGTGAAGCCCATTTCTGGTGTCCCCCGCCGTGATGTTGCTGAAATATTGCTAAAAGCGGCGTAAAACCAAACTCAGTCAGTCGTATGACCTCCTTCATTTCGGCTTTCCCAAATGACATGCCGTGATCAACTGAATAACTGTATCAAAGCGGCGATAAGACTCACTCACTCACTCACTGTTTTGTTTCAGCAGCATATGCTGTTGGTGTGTTTATCCTGCTCGTCTTTGCGCTGATGGAAAACCAACTGCGTAGCGAGTCATATTCCAACATCGACACCTCAGAAGTGAGGGTTCTCAGTGTCCGAGACTCCCGGGACCGACACATGAAGGTCAAGGTCATCCATCAAGATCGAGACGTCAAAATACCAAATCTCGGAAAGTCTCGACCTAGTCGCTCAACAGACAAAACACTCAGAAATGGAGGACATAAAATTTTGTCGAACAGGCTCCATAACAGCAGTCGGAAACTCAGGCACAGAAAAAACAGCTGGCAGGAAAAACCGATTTTGACCATAAGGTTTGATGGTCGCCTTGGCAACCAAATGTTTGAGTACGCAGCGGTGTATGCTATAGCTCGCAAGAAGAAAATGAAAATATTTCTTACGAGGAATCACCAGCTAAATAAAATATTTCACATTGACGAGTCGGTGATCGTGAGGAAGCCTTGCGGTGGCTTCACCAACGTCAACACACCTTGCTGTGGTTACGACGCTACGACGTTGGACAGAATACAGAACAATACGTGCCAGCGCATATTTGGTTACTTTCAATCATGGAGATATTTTGAGTCACTGCTTGGAAACGTCAGACGCCAGTTCACGTTCAGACGCAATATAATCCAGACTGCAGATGCCAAACTCTGGTCAGTTGTGAACAAACACAAGAAATACCCTTCAAAACCGCAACACGTGGACGCTGTGTCCTCACGCATGCGCAGTCAAAAACAGGTTCGTGTACATTTATTGCAATACACGTAAGAAGAGGTGATCTCATGTTGCCAATCCGTGTCAAACAGGGCCGACGTGCCGCCCCGAAACAATTCTACCTCCGCGCCATGGACTATTTTCGGCGTCTGCATCACGATGCATTGTTTATTGTCGGTAGCGACTCGCAGCAATGGGCAGCGGAGAACTTAGCCGGACCGGATGTCATTGTGCTGAAGGACATGCTACCGGAAGTGGATATGTGCATTCTGAGTCGATGCAACCACACCGTTATGAGTGTGGGTACGTTTGGCTGGTGGGTGGGACTTTTAGGGAGGGGGAGAACAGTGTACTACAACCAACCTTTCATACACACCAGCGAGACTGCAGCCATGTACTCGGGGTATGAACAAGACTTTATCCGTCCTGGCTGGATTGGGATGAGCTAGTCTTGGAGTTGTCTCCCTTGTGTTGGTGGTGGTTGCCAAGCGCTGATTGTTTCTTCAATGATGTCGACATGGAGGCAACATGGAGTGCAGCTGGGCTCATTGTCTAGTTGATGCAGAGTTAGGAGACCGACACATGTAGAGCCTCTTGAAGATCAGTGACTGCTTCCCTGTACTATTCTGCTCTAGTCAGACGTGACCGTGTAGAGATAAGAAGCGTTTTGGTACAAATAAACAAGAAAACATTGACGTAGTGGAGTAGTTTAGTTGGTTTGTTGTTTAAAACCGCCTGCAGTTTGTACATGCATGTTACCTTCTCATACACCTGTGAACATCCGAGCTAGACTTGAATGGTTTGATAAGTGAGTGAATGGCTGGGTGGGTGAGTGAGTGAGTGTTTAATAAGTGTGTGCTCGAGTGAGTGGTTGCTGAGAGGTTGTGTGAGTGGCTGGCTGGATGACTGAGTGGTTGAAAATGTTGAAAATACCTCTTGGAAGCGTGACGAGTAATAGGTCACCTCATCATGGTAAACTGATCCTGGGTAAGGTCCAGAACGGAACCACCTCATCATGATATACTGTTTACGGGTAAGGTCCAGAACAGAACCACCTCATCATGATATACTGTTCAGGGGTAAGGTCTACAACAGAACCACCTCATCATGATATACTGTTCAGGGGTAAGGTCTACAACAGAACCACCTCATGATATACTGTTCAGGGATAAGGTCCAGAACAGAACCACCTCATCATGATATACTGTTCAGGGGTAAGGTCTACAACAGAACCACCTCATCATGATATACTGTTCAGGGGCAAGGTCCAGAACAGAACCACCTCATCATGATATACTGTTCAGGGGTAAGGTCCAGAACAGAACCACCTCATCATGATATACTGTTCAGGGGTAAGGTCCAGAACAGAACCACCTCATCATGATATACTGTTCAGGGGTAAGGTCCAGAACAGAACCACCTCATCATGATATACTGTTCAGGGGTAAGGTCCAGAACAGAACCACCTCATCATGATATACTGTTCAGGGGTAAGGTCCACCAATCATTAATTCAGGACAGAACTACCACTTTATTGAATCTGCCTGAAGCCGTTTTAAATCACCTGATGCTTCAAATAGATATCACAGACTGGGCTGTTTACAGATAGACACGTTCATGAAAGTACAGACATTGTAATCGATCTAATCGAATTTCATGATGAAGGGGTATATGTTATGCTTCTGCATTTTGCAAAAGGCATTCTATTCGGTGGAATTATTTCATCTATTGTTTATATGTGTGTGTTGGTTGGTTACCGCCACGCTCAACACTATTCTAGCTATATGGCGGCACTCTGTAAATAATCGAGTTTGGACCAGACAACCCCCTGATCAACACCATGTGCATCGATCAACTCGATTATTCATTTTGATTTGAAGACTGACTGACTGACTGAGTTTGGTTTTACGCGGCTTTTAGCAATATTCCAGTCATATCAGGGCGCGGGACACCAGAAATGGGCTTCACTCATTGTACCCATGTGGGGATTCGAACCCGGGTCTTCGGCGTGACGAGCCAACGCTTTAACCACTAGACTACCCCACCGCCCCAGATAAGTACCAGATTGCTTTATTCACTTTACACTTTTCTGCCCCAAAGCGAGGCTTCATGTGTTATACACGATCAGCACGTCACCAATCACCACCATCACAAAGGAGTCAAACAAGGATGCCTATTGAACCCGCTCATATTGTATTCTGAGATAATGAACGGGTTACTACTTCGGCGTCCAGATGAGTGAGTTTAGTTTTACGTCGCACTCAGCAATATTCCAGCAATATGGCGGCGGTCTGTAAATAATCGAGTCTGGAATACACTGTCAAGTGATTAACAGCATGAGCATCGATCTACGCTATTGGGATACGATGACGTGTCAACCTAGTCAGCGAGCCTGACGACACGATCCCGTTAGTCGCCTCTTACGACAAGCATAGGTTACTGAATTCTGAAGATGAATTCTAACCCGGAACTTCACGGGTGTAGCCAAGGTGAAATGGAAGGTGTAATCAAACATAAGAACGAAACCGTTTCTGAAAAGGACAATATCTGCTTTGAACACAATTACACAAACACAGGCCTCAAATTCCGTTGCAGTGTATGTTATCACGAGTCTGAATGACAATTGTGTAACACAGCCTTTTAAAGCGATCCGAATTTATAGAAGGTTCAGAAATACAACGGATGGAGACGGCACAGCACTGGTTAATGAATAAATAACTTTGTATGTGAACCTGCTTCTCGAACACCTGGCTGTCCCTTTCTCTGCACTCCCCCCTCGTAACAAACAGTGAACTGTGTCAATATTTCAATGATAGTTTGTTAAACAACGTTTTTATTTTGGGGACAAAAATTATGCAAATAAATCACAGAGTTGGCATGATGTTTCGATTATGATCAGCGTTTCATTGAGTTTTTTATGTTTATTAGTTTTCGAGTTAGACTGCAATTCATCGATCCGCTTTTGAGCCAAACGGACTATAGGCATTTTAGATTAGATATCTGGAGACTTCGAAATCTGTCTATTTATCGTAGAACTTTGTTTACAAAATCTGAAGCAGTTCGAGATTAAATCATTCTCTTAGCTGTTTGCTACTACTCCTTGTATGTTTTGAAATTACCAACAGTTTATTCTTTGAGTATAAGTGGAATTATAACACTGAGAAGGGGTAATTGAAAGAGATGTCAAGAGATTTATTTCGAATGAATAAAGAGCTTTAACTTGTTTGGCTATCGTGGTTGTTTCAGAGTATTACTTTCGCTTGTGAGTTGCTGTTCAAACACGGAAGTTTAGTCTACCAAAGTTTAATCTGGAAATTCTTAATAAACAAACACGTACATATATAGAAGCGGGTGACACAGATCTCAACAGGGAGAGAACATTTTAGTCAGATGTCCGCGCAGCGGAATCACACCGAGGATATCACTTCCTCACAGAGAAAGGTCACACTGCTATTACCATGGTAACGACACTACAGGGGGTGTCATCACACATATGTACATCCCTTCGAACTCAGGTGACGTTTACACGCAGCTAAACCAGCATCTCTCACAGCTACAGGCTGGTGGACAGGCACCGTAACACTTGCACCAGTTAGCTACTTTATTGGGCAGGCACCGTAACACTTGCACCAGTTAGCAACTTTATTGGGCAGGCACCGTAACACTTGTACCAGGTAGCTACTATATTGGGCAGGCACCGTAACACTTGTACCAGGTAGCTACTTTATTGGACAGGCACCGTAACACTTGCACCAGTTAGCTACTTTATTGGGCAGGCACCGTAACACCTGCACCAGTTAGCAACTTTATTGGGCAGGCACCGTAACACTTGTACCAGGTAGCTACTTTATTGGGCAGGCACCGTAACACTTGCACCAGTTAGCTACTTTATTGGGCAGGCACCGTAACACTTGTTCCAGGTAGCTACTTTATTGGGCAGGCACCGTAACACTTGTACCAGGTAGCTACTATATTGGGCAGGCACCGTAACACTTGTACCAGGTAGCTACTTTATTGAGCAGGCACCGTAACACTTGCACCAGTTAGCAACTTTATTGGGCAGGCACCGTAACACTTGCACCAGGTAGCTACTTTATTGGGCAGGCACCGTAACACCTGCACCAGTTAGCAACTTTATTGGGCAGGCACCGTAACACTTGTACCAGGTAGCTACTTTATTGGGCAGGCACCGTAACACTTGCACCAGTTAGCAACTTTATTGGGCAGGCACCGTAACACTTGCACCAGGTAGCAACTTTATTGGGCAGGCACCGTAACACTTGCACCAGTTAGCTACTTTATTGGGCAGGCACCGTAACACTTGCACCAGTTAGCTACTTTATTGGGCAGGCACCGTAACACTTGCACCAGTTAGCTACTTTATTGGGCAGGCACCGTAACACTTGCACCAGTTAGCTACTTTATTGGGCAGGCACCGTAACACTTGTTCCAGGTAGCTACTTTATTGGGCAGGCACCGTAACACTTGCACCAGTTAGCTACTTTATTGGGCAGGCACCGTAACACTTGCACCAGTTAGCTACTTTACTGGGTTAGCAATTGTCATTAGTTAGGCGTTTCAGTGGGCTGGCAATTGGCTTTAGTTAGGCATTTCAATGGGCTGGCAATTGGGTTAGTTAGGTATCTCAGTGGGCTGACAATTAGCGTTAGCTAGGTATTTCAGTAGGCTGGCAATTGGCGTTAGTAAGGCACTTTAGTGAGTTGGCAATTGGTATTAGTTAGGCATTTCAATGGGCAGGCAATTGGTATGAGGTAGGCATTTCAGTGGGCTGGCGATTGGCGTTATTTAGGCATTTAAGTGGGCTGGCCAGTGATATTAGTTAGGTGTGAAAATAAAGTTACATGATCCAAGTATTTCACATGATCGAAACATAATCACAAATATGGTCATCTGAGTATCGGTAAAATGAACACATCGATCTCGTTGATATACATACACGTGACATCCGGCATGGTACATAAATATCTAAGTTAACATTTGACTCTTTGAATTTGAAAAAATTACACATGCTTTCTCGCCTAAGGACATTTCCTGTTTACAACCCTTGAGCGAAATCGGAAATGTCAATACCTATTGCAATGAAAAAAAGAATTGCAATTGAAATATTATTACGTATTTGCTGGAGTACGTGTTTGAAATTCTTGTTGAATTCATGCTTTGAAATACCTGAAAATCCGGCCATAGAATACATGAAAGTGGTGCTTGTGCATACGAAAATGTACGCTGACCATATATTTCAAAGGTAAAGCATTGTATGAAATATATGCCGGAAGTCAGGAAATATCTGCAAAAATAGGCAAACCCGGTCACAGCATGCGTTGTCTACAGTGTTTGCGTTTATGTCAATGGTGTAGAATCCGGCTTTTGATCCTGTGTATAGCCATAGGTTTGTTATGTGTATCGCCCGGCTCAATGGTTAAACCAGCTATAATCAGCTGTTCCTCAATGCGACTGGTCTGATCGTGTCCCTGATCTGCAGGTTTATGCAAGCTTCGGCCGGCTGTGCGTCACCAGCCGCTGGGGAGATTAACACAGTGATATGGCGAAGGTTTAACGGACACAGCCAAGGTTTAACGACACAGACATGGTTTAACTACGAAGCCAAGGTGAGACGGACACAGCGAAGGTTAAACCACACAGCCAAGGTGTGACACAGTCACGGTGTGACGGATACAATCAAGGTGTGACGGAAACAATCAAGGTGTTACGGATACAATCAAGGTCTTACGGATACAATCAAGGTGTGACAGAGACAATCAAGGTGTTACGGATACAATCAAGGTCTTACGGATACAATCAAGGTGTGACAGAGACAATCAAGGTGTGACGGACACAATCAAGGTGTGACGGATATAGTCAAGGTGTGACGGATATAGTCAAGGTGTGACGGATATAGTCAAGGTGTGACGGACACAATCAAGGTGTGACGGATAAAGTCAAGGTGTGACGGATATAGTCAAGGTGTGACGGATGAAGTCAAGATGTGACGGATGAAGTCAAGATGTGACGGATGAAGTCAAGGTGTGACGGACACAGCCAAGGTGTGATTCACCATACAGTCAGCTTAGCGAGGGATAATCCGGGTGAGTGTAAATGCTAAACTATGGGTCCCACTGACATATCTGTCAGACAGATGTGCCCGACTGACATATCTGTCAGAGAGGTGTGTCCCACTGAAATATGTGTCAGGTAGGTGTCTATCACTGACCCCTGTCAGAGAGGTGTGTCCCAATGAAACGTGTCAGAGAGAGAGCTGTGTCCCACTTATATGTGTATCAGAGAGGTGTGTCCCACTGCCATGTGTATCAGAGAGGTGTGTCCCACTGACATGTGTCAGAGAGAGAGGTGTGTCCCACTGACATGTGTATCAGAGAGGTGTGTCCCACTGACATGTGTATCAGAGAGGTGTGTCCCACTGACATGTGTCAGAGAGAGGTGTGTCCCACTTACATGTATCAGAGAGGTGTGTCCCACTGACATGTGTATCAGAGAGGTGTGTCCCACGGGCGTGTGTCAGGGAGATGTGTACCACGAACACACGTGTCAGAAAGGTGTATACCACTGACTCGTGTCAGAAAGGTGTAGACCACGGACACTCGTGTCAGAAAGGTGTAGACCACGGACACACGTGTGAAAGAGGTGTTTACCACTGACACTCGTGTCAGATCTGTGTACCACGCACACACGTGTCAGAGAGGTGTTTACCACTGACTCGTTTCAGAGACGTGTGTACCAGGGACACACAGGTAAGAGAGGTGTGTCCCACTGACACGTTTCAGAGAGGTGTGTACCAGGGACACAGGTTAGAGAGGTGTGTCCCACTGACACGTTTTAGAGAGGTGTGTACCAGGGACACAGGTTAGAGAGGTGTGTCCCACTGACACGTTTCAGAGAGGTGTGTACCAGGGACACAGGCTAGATAGGTGTGCCCCACTGACATGTGTCAGAGAGGTGTGTAACACTGATTCGTGTCAGAGTGGTGTGTCCCACTGACACGTGTCAGAGTGGTGTGTACAAGAGACATACAGGTTAGAGAGGTGTGTCCCACTGACACGTGTCAGAGAGGTGTGTCCCACTGACATGTGTCAGTGAGATAGGCGTGTCCCCCTGACATGTATCAGAGAGGTGTGTTCCACTGACACGTGTATGTGAGAGGTGTGTCCCACTGACATATGCATGTGTCTGACAGAGGTGTGTCCCACGGACATGTGTATGAGAGAGGTGCGTCAAACTGACATGTGTATCAGAAAGGTGTTTCACACTGACACGTGTCAGAGAGAGAGGTGTGTCCCACTGACACATGCCTGAGAGAGGTGTGTCCAACGGACGTATGTATCAGAGAGGTGTGTCCCACTGACATGTGTATCAGAGAGATGTGTCCCACGGACGTGTGTCAGGGAGGTGTGTACCACGAACACACGTGTCAGAAAGGTGTAGACCACGGACACACGTGTGAAAGGGGTGTTTATCACGGACACTCGTGTCAGAAATGTGAAGACCACGGACACACGTGTGAAAGAGGTGTTTACCACTTACACTTGTCAGATCTGTGTACCACGCACACACGTGTCAAAGAGGTGTTTACCACTGACACGTTACAGAGAGGTGTGTACCAGGGACACAGGTTAGAGAGGTGTGTCCCACTGACACGTTTCAGAGAGGTGTGTACCAGGGACACAGGTTAGAGAGGTGTGTCCCACTGACACGTTTCAGAGAGGTGTGTACCAGGGACACAGGTTAGAGAGGTGTGTCCCACTGACATGTGTCAGAGAGGTGTGTCCTACTGACACGTGTCAGAGTGGTGTGTACCAGGGACACACAGGTTAGAGAGGTGTGTCCCACTGACACGTGTCAGAGTGGTGTGTCAGACACGTGTGTCGTGGTGAACCAAACGTGCTTGTAAATAACATGAGTGGAGATAGACATGTGTCACAGTGACATTTTTTTTTATAGTGACAGACATTTGTTTGTCAGGTGTGTTAAAGTGAACGCGATATGATTGTTTCCCTCGAGTGAAAGGGAAATAGATATGTAGCAAGGTATTGTGCACAATCATGGACAGGGCCAACAATGATGCGTGTTTAACCTAGGGGTTCCTACACACTAATATCAGAACTATAGTCGGCCTTGTGGAGGCACCAAACAGCCACTGAGTGTTTTCAGAAACCCAACAATAGAGCGACTCACTAGGTGAAAGAAGGCCGTGACACAAGTGCGAATGCATAGTATAATGTTTTCACTTGAGCTATGTCTGACATGGCGCAGTGTGATTTCTTCATTTGAGCTATGTCTGACATGGCGCAGTGTGATTTCTTCATTTGAGCTATGTCTGACATGGCGCTTTGTGATTTCTTCATTTGAGCTATGTCTGACATGGCGCAGTGTGATTTCTTCATTTGAGCTATGTCTGACATGGCGCAGTGTGATTTCTTCATTTGAGCTATGTCTGACATGGCGCTTTGTGATTTCTTCATTTGAGCTATGTCTGACATGGCACTTTGTGATTTCTTCATTTGAGCTATGTCTGACATGGCGCTTTGTGATTTCTTCATTTGAGCTATGTCTGACATGGCGCAGTGTGATTTCTTCATTTGAGCTATGTCTGACATGGCGCAGTGTGATTTCTTTACTTGTCGAGCTATGTCTGACGGGGCAAAGTATAGTGTCTTCTAGAGCTGTGTATCGTGGTCTAACTCGCGAGACGATATATCCCGATACCAGTTTAATGAGGCGAGACATGAAAGTATTGGCAATGAACCTGCGAGACAATTATCATCACGATACATGGTGGCGATACGATACGTATCCCGATACTTTACAATTTCAATAACAGAACATATATTCTAGATAAAATGACTGAATCTTTATTTGTTATACAGCAGAAATTGTGTTACATTCACAAACACTTAAAAGGCTGTTCATCTAATAACGTTTCAGCATTTATGTTGGTGTGTTTCTGCACCAATGCTTTCACGAACAATGAATTTTTTATCAGAATTAGGAATTACTGAAAAATACTCTTAAGTACGCTTTCTAAATTTTATGTTCTCTTTCGTAACAAAGCTAAGACATCGTTCATGTTGTGAATAAATGGTGTTCTTTGTCAAACAACTAAAACATATTTCAATTACTTGAAGGTAAGTATTCTACAGTTCACAAAGAAACATATTCACACGCCTTCACTTATACACCAACTACTTTCATCATGTCACACAGATAGCAGACCCAAATAAATTTCTGTTATGACGTATTTGCTGGAGTACGTGTTTGAAATTCTTGTTGAATTCATGCTTCGAAATACCTGAAAATCCGACCATAGCATACACGAAAGTGGTGCTTGTGCATACGAAAATGTACGCCGCGTTTGAAATTCTTGTTGTATCCCAATTTGTTTTTAAAATTCAGAATGTCTTAACTTGAGCTATGTCTGACAGGGCACAGTATGATTTCCTCAGTTGTCGAGCTATATCTGACAGGGCAAGGGTAATATCTTTACTTGTCGAGCTAGGTGTGACAGGGCAAGGGTAATATCTTTACTTGCCGAGCTAGGTGTGACAGGGCAAGGGTAATATCTTTACTTGTCGAGCTAGGTGTGACAGGGCAAGTGTAATGTCTTTACTTGTCGAGCTATGTGTGACAGAGCAAGTGTAATATCTTCACTGGAAGTGCCATGTATGACAGGGCAAGTATAATATCTTCACTGGACGTGCTTGGTGTGATAGGGCAAATGTAATGTGTTCACTGGACGGGTTAGGTTTGACGGGGCAAGTATAATGTCTTCACTTAACGTGCTAGGTGTGACGTGGCAAGTGTAATGTCTTCACTTCACGTGCTAGGTGTGACAGAGCAAGTGTAATGTCTTCACTTGACGTGCTAGCTGTAACAGGGCAAGTGTAATGTCTTCCCTTGACGAGCTATGTGTGACAGGGAAAGTGTAATGTCTTCACTTGACGAGCTATGTGTGACAGGGAAAATATAATGTCTTCACTTGACGTGCTATGTGTGACAGGGCAAGTATAATGTCTTCACTTGACGAGCTAGGTGTGACGAGGTAAGTGTAATACCTTCACTTGACGAGCTATGTGTGACAGGGCAAGTATAATGTCTTCACTTGACGAGCTATGTGTGACAGGGCAAGTGTAATGTCTTCACTTGACGAGCTATGTGTGACAGGGCAAGTATAATGCCTTCACTTGACGTGCTATGTGTGACAGGGCAAGGGTAATATCTTTACTTGTCGAGCTAGGTGTGACAGGGCAAGGGTAATATCTTTACTTGTCGAGCTAGGTGTGACAGGGCAAGTGTAATGCCTTTACTTGTCGAGCTAGGTGTGACAGGGCAAGTGTAATGTCTTCACTTGACGAGCTATGTGTGACAGGGAAAGTATAATGTCTTCACTTGACGAGCTATGTGTGACAGGGCAAGTATAATGTCTTCACTTGACGAGCTATGTGTGACAGGGCAAGTGGAATGTCTTCACTTTACGAGCTAGGTGTGACGGGGCAAGTGTTATGACTTCACTTGACGAACTATGTGTGACGGGGCAAGTGTAATATCTTCACTTGACGTGCTAGTTGTGACAGGGAAAGTGTAATGTCTTCACTTGACGATCTATGTGTGACAGGGATTAGTGTAATATCTTCACTTGACGAGCTATGGGTGACAGGGCAAGTATAATGTCTTCACTGGACGTGCTAGGTGTGACAGGGTAAGTGTAATGTCTTCACTTGACGAGCTAGGTGTGACAGGGCAAGTGTAATGTCTTCACTTGACAAGCTATGTGCGATAGAGCAAGTGTAATATCTTCAATGGAAGTGCTAGGTGTGACAGGGTAAGTGTTATGTCTTCACTGGACGTGCCATGTATGACAGGGCAAGTATAATATCTTCACTGGACGTGCTTGGTGTGACAGGGCAAGTGTAATGTCTTCACTGGACGTGTTAGGGGTGACGGGGCAAGTATAATATCTTCACTTGACGTGCTAGGTGTGACAGGGAAAGTGTAATGTCTTCACTTCACGTGCTAGGTGTGACAGGGCAAGTGTAATGTCTTCACTGGATGTGCTAGGTGTAACAGGGCAAGT